CTCCAAGTGTCAACAATGTCCAGAATGCCATAGAGCACATTTATCCCTTGGTACAAGAGTTTAGTAAAGTGAGAACCCCGGAGGAGATGGAAGAGTTCCGGCGCAACAGGGCCAAACGTGCAGGCGAAATCATAGATTCCGACACCGACATCTCTTTATCAGAAGAAGATTATGAAGATTTGTAAGATATCGGCAATAAAATAATGAAAATTTGAAAACAGTTGTTGTAGTAAAGTGCATACAGCATTAAAAATAAAAAGGAAAAAAGTGTGGCCTTGACCAAGGTTGTACTTGGTGGAGCTTAATACAGTAAAAGCATGTTGTTATGCATGCAGTGATTATCATGTTAGTCAAGAAAATGAAATAATGTGCATTATAATGTGTTAAAATAGTGTTACTCTCACAAACTAGGCATAGCAAACCACTCAAAGTCAACACTGAACATCATGCATATCAAAGTGGATGGAATGTACTGTTACTTGGAAAAGGAGTAAACATATCTTGTGTTGATTGTGTCATGACAGACTCGAATACACAACACAGCTCAGCTGAGGTATTTTGGAAGGAGAGGTGCCTGTTTCTTTACATGATGAAGCACAAGGAAATGTTCAAGTAATGAATCTGCTCAATGCTTTTAGTTTATCTTTCATTGCTGTATCTTTTCTGATAAGATTTTCTACCTCTGTCTCCAAACCAATTGATTCATTAATGAATTTTCCTTTTTTGGTAGAATGTTTCACTTGGTGGCTAAATGGCAAAGTGGTTTTGAGCCCAAAACTGTGTAGAAGCTTGAATGCTGCAACTGTAAAGTGGGGCTGGCCAGACAAGCTCCAGCCCCTTTGGCTTCTGGCTGCAACTGAGGTATGCATATTAAAGTGACAAGTGGTCAGAATCGTTTGATGTATAGTTTTCTACAATTTATACTTTATGGTAGTCCAGCTTTGTGTCATGGTGCTTCTATCTAAAAGATGGCCTTGAAGCATGGCAGTGTAAGGCCTTTGTACCATAACCATGCATCCCGTGGAAAAGGGAAAATGGAATCATGGATTATATATGTGATAAAAAAGGAATTAATTTGCTTTCGTGACAAGATGGGAAGAGGAAAAATAAAAAGAAGTAAAAAAAAGAAAAAATGAAATGAAAGCCCAAGGAGTTCTGCTTAAAATTTGGCCTCCTTGCCTAGTCCAATGCTCTTTGTATTACCCCACCGACTTGAAGTGTGAGCCATAGTGTATTTAACAAAGTACATTAACCTATTGAAACTAAAATGAGTCCTTCACCATGTGTAGTTACCTCTTGTGCTTAAAGCTGCTGAAAGAGACAATTTGAATGTTTTCAGTCGTCGGTAACTACAGCCAGCAGAACTTGCCAATGTGTGTAGGTGTTGTGGAAGTCTGCAGAATGCATGACTTATAAAAAAAAAAAAGCGCGTTTAGGCTTACGCATCAAGTATAAGGGATGGCCATGATCAAAAGTTGTGTCAAAATGTATATGTATTAACCACAATATTAAAGGGAAAAAAATAGATTGCCGACGTGAAAGGCTTCTGTGAAGATCTGTTATCCTATACATTATATTTGTTTCATCACTTTTCAGTTGCAAGTTGTTCATGGGCATATTTATCCCAGAAACCTTTATGAGGGCGTACTTTTTTCTCTTTTTTTTCTTTTGTTTTAAATTTTGAGTTGGTAATGTATTTTCCTTTCACTTGAAGGTGCTGTCAACTTTCTAAAAATGGTTATGATATTTACATTAATGTACAGGCTCTTATTTTATTTTACTATTTTGCCATCTGTTGAAAAAGTTATTTTTCCAGTTTTTATGTGAAATTGATTGCTGTGAACATAACATTAAAAAAAGGAAATAATGTCCTGTGTAAAGGTTTTCTGAGCTTATGTAATCTTATTCATATGTTCATTAATATTAACATTAAATCCAATATACCATTCCCAAAGACATGCCAAACTAATGCTTTTCAGCCTTTTTTTCCTTCCACGGCTCCTTTTCTTTGCACAAGAACTGCAGTGCACTTTAGTTACGTGGACTCTGAATGTCTAGCACTTCACTTATTGAAGACTGGATGGACTTGCTGTTCAGCCTGTTGATTTGTTGCATTGGTCTTGTCTACCAACTACCTTGTTGGTATCTTGATCTTTGTTGTAAATTATATTATAAAAATGGAAATAGAAATTCTTAGCACGAGACTGCCGTTACTGGCTTTCATGTATTGTGGTATTTTTCTCTGGTGCAATTAGAGCAAGGACTCAATATTTATTTGTCTTTTCAGTATTTTTTTGTACTGGAAAATCCAGATTTACTGTTGGCATTGATGTAATACCAGTTTTTTCTTAAATTAAGATAATGCTTATTTTTATTGAAGATGATGGGACTGTGTTATAGGTATCTATAAACTGCATATGCTTTATTTTTTATCGAGGATGATTTACTGCTTTTCTTCTTTTTTATGGGGGGGGGTGAGGTATATTATCAGTATACATAG